ATAAGAGACTCACAGAGGGCTGGGATGTAGCTCAGTGGCAAAGCACTTGCCTGGGTTCGATCCCCAGTACCAAAAAAAGAAAAAAAAAAAGAAAAAGACAAAGAGACTCACAGACTTTCCTGCTCGGGCTGGCTTTGAACTACAATCCTCAGATCTCAGCTGCCTGAGTTAACTAGGATTACAGGAATGAGCCACCAGTACCTGGCTACTATGAACATTTATATAAAAGCCTTTGTGTATGCTATCTTTTTTTTATCTGTAGGTCATGGGGTTTGAACTCTGAACCTAGGCACTGTCCCTGAGCAATTCAGCTCAAGGACAGTACTCTACCACTTGAGCCACAGAGTATGGTGGTTAACTGGAGATGAGTGTCATAGATTTTCTTTCCTGGGCTGGCTTTGAACCCTGATCCTCAGATCTCAGCCTCCTGAGTAGCTAGGATTATAGGCGCAAGCCACTGGCACCCAGCTGTCTGTTTTCATTACTCTTGGCTCTAAGTCCATAAATGGAATTGCTGGGTCATCTATCTTGCCTTCTAGACCCTTCTTCGTCTCTTTACTTCCTGCTGTCATCAGTTAAACAGATTCCCTCTGTCACTAGCTGCCTCAAGCCTAAAAGCAAAGGAGCCAGCCATTCAACCATAGATTGAAACCTCAGAGAAGTTTCCAAATAAATCTTTGCTCTAAGTTGGGTTTCTTAAATATTTTTTTACAGTGACAAAAGACCCACTAATAGTCACTCTCTCCTGCTGTGCTTGCAATAATGAATAAAACTGGAGTTTTTAAGAGTCAGATCCACTGTCTGCAGGACACCAACAAGTTTTACAAGCTTTCTTGAATTACTTATTTCTTATCCATAAAATAGAGCTCAAACTTTCTCCCAAAGGGTTATTATAAAGTAAATAACAAAGTTGGGCACCAGTACCTCACACCCATAATCCTAGCTACTCAGAAGGCTGATATCTGAGGATCTGGTTCAAAGCCAGCCTGGGCAGGAAAGTCTATGAGACTCTTAACTCCAATAAACCACCAGAAAACCAGAAGTGGATCAAGTATTAGAGCACTGGCCTTGAGCTGAAGAGCTGAAAGCAGTGCCCAGTCCTAGAGTTCATGCTCCACAACTGACAAAAAAATAATAGTAAATAACATATGTAGAAGTGCTTGAACAATGCGTGGCACCTTTATGTTTGATATAAAAGTAAACCATGCACTGACAAACCATTTGACTTTATCCTCCAAGTGAGTACCAAATTGTTAGGATATAGAAAGAAAGACTGCTAGCCCTCTACCACTTAAGCAGAACTTTATTGTTTGCTGGTTATTTTTGAAAGTTCTTTATTGTAGCAAAGTTTTCTGCAAGGTTGGCTTTGGACCATGGTGTCTCAAATCTCAGCCTCCTGAGTAATATTATTTGAAGTGTAAGCCACCAGCACCCTGCAAAAGGAAGATACTTTCTATACTTACTAGTCTGAATATAAACTCTAAGAACTGAAATTGCACAGATCATATGAAAATACCTAATGTGTACTGGGAGCCAATGGCTCACGCCTGTAATCCTAGCTACTCAGGAGGCTGAGATCTGAGGATCACGGTTCAAAGCCAGTGCGAGCAGGAAAGGCCCTGAGACTGTTTATTTCCAATAAATCACTAGAAAACTGGAAGTGGTGCTGTGGCTCAAGTTTAAGCTGAAGAGCTCAGGGACAGTGCCCAGGACCAGAGTTCAAGCCCCACAACCAAAAAAGAAAGAAAAGGCAGTATTTGCAAAGTATTAGGCACATATCAGCCACATAATACATAGTAACTGCTTTTATTAGTTTTTGAGGGTTTTTGTGTTTTCTTTTGTTTTGCTGTTTTCTGTGTATGTGCTTTCCCCAGTGCTGGGGACTGAACTCAGGGGTGTACTCAGGGTGTGTGTGTGTGTGTGTGTGTGTGTGTTCAGGGTGTGTGTGTGTGTCAGGGTGTGTGTGTTTTCCCCAGTGCTGGGGACTGAACTCAGGGTCTTGTGCATGCTAGGTAAGTACTCTACCACAAAGCTAACTATATCCCCAGGTTCTTTATTATTTTTGAAAATTCAGGCTTTTTTCAATAAATAGTATTTTTAATGTTCAGAGGAGTTCCTTTGGGTTCCTCCCCTAAGCATATCCATTCTCCTTTGGTCTGTGTATGAATGTCTAGAGTCCTCTTATGGGTTATCATGTCCAGTTATATTTTAAATCTAGGTTCCACATGGGAGAAAAAACATGCGCCATTTGTCTCTGAGCTTGGCTTACCTCATTTGATTTATTCTAGGTCCATCCATAGACTTCAGTATTATTTAAAACAAAATAAAACTAAACCAAATAAACTAAAACAGGCCAGGAGCCAGTGACTCATGCCTATAGTCCTGGCAGGACTACAGGAAGCTGAGTTGAGAATCATGGTTCTAAGCCAACTCTGAAAAACCTGTGAGATTTTTATCTCCATTAACCAGCAAAACAGCCAGAAATGGAGGTGTGGTTCAAGTGGTAGAGCACCACTCCTGAGGGAAAAAACCTAAGGGACAGTACTCAGGCCCTGAGTTTAAGTCCCAGTACCAGCACAAAACAAAACATAAAAAAACAACCATGCTAGGGATGCTAGGGGCTGAACCCAGGACTTTATATATGCTAGGCAAGAACTCAACCTCTAAGCTATATTCCCAGTCCAACACTAGTATTTTAAAAGCTCTCCAGGTGGTTGAGGATTATATCTTAGTGGTAGAGTACATGCTTAATTAGTATGCATAAACATACACGCATGTGCACGCGCACACACACACACATACACACACACACACACAATCAACTCTCCAGGTAACTGTGATGTTGAGGTAAGAATCACAACAGCTTGAAAGAAGTCATAAATTTTTTCTTTCTGAAACTTTTTTTATAAACACTTACTATCCTTTTTTTTTTTTTCTTAACCAGTAATGTGGCAGAGCGGGCACTGTCCCTGAGCTCTTTTTGCTCAAGGCCAGCACTCTACCACTTGAGCCACAGTACTACTTCCAGCTTTCTCTGTTTATGTGGTACTGAGGAATCGAACTCAAGGCTTCATGCAAACTAGACAAGCACTCTACCACTAAGCCACATTCCCAGCCTGACATTTACTCTTGCCTCTCCAGTCAGAATTACTATCTTAAGATAAGATTGAACAACTTGTTTCTAGAAAAAACAGAGAACCAGGTTTAAAACTTCCATCAAGCTCCAAACTCATAATGAAGCACATTTCTGACTACCACTCTGACTACTACTAGCTCCTCCATATGACTAAAAATCTAGTAATGACTCTGTCCATTCAAACTTAGACTCTTACAATCACATTCAGACCCCTCAACAGATACACACACTTCAGAAACTGGTCCCTGCCTGGTGAAGATGAGTTACACTCAGACTACTCTGGTGCTGGTCTAAACAGTCAAACCACCAACCACTCAAGCTCATACACCTCAGGCTCAGTGGCAGGCTAATGTGCACAAGAGGAAAGAGAATGAATACCAAAGAACGCAATGTGACCAGTGGCACTGTGCAGCAGAGCAAGATTGCTCACCTTACTTTTCATTCAGGACTCACCACTAGTCCATGCTTCTTTACTTCCTCACACTCATCCTCTCTCATCTTTCCCATTGCACATGCTTTTCCTTCTGCAAGTAATACTGAGCCCTAGCCTGCACAGACCTCAATGTAATTGTTACTGCCTCGAGGAAGCCTCCTGCAGCTACCACCACCCATTGCCCAACTCAAGGTTAGATGATCTTACTGTATCCTCCCATGGAGTTTAAGTTCCCACCATTCCATGCTACACTGGGCTTGCTCACTAATTCCCAGGGCCAGGCACCCTAGCACAGGTTTGATGCACATGGAATGAAGAGGTCCATAAAGAACATGGACTCACAACAAAGGTTGTTTTCTTTACTCAGGTTTTACTTTCTACTTCCCCTAAAGTAAGCACTGCAGGAAATGTTAACTGTTGAATCTGGGTGTGAGATACATGATGATTGTTCTTTAAATTTTTAATTTCTCATAATAAACCGTTGGAGGAAAATAATCTGACTCTGCCACTATTCCTAAGCCGGCTTTCCTAGTAAATATTACTTAGCTACAGGATACCCAGTGACAATTCATCTTAATAATTTCCTCACTGTTGATAGTGCCATAGGACAGAGAGAGCACAAACCCACTGCCAGTATATGAAAGAGACTAACAAACCATCCAGGTCAGCTAGTAAAAAAACAAGAAGTTTTGCCAAAGGTCAGAAACTATGTTCCATCAAAATCCTAAGATGTTAGCCAGGTGTGGTTTCACATGCCCGAGTTCCAGGCAAGCCTGGAATATGCAATAAGACTCTGTCTCAAAAAAAAAAAAAAGTAAAACCAAAAACAAACAGCACAATGTGATGTATACCTGTAATCCCAGAACTCAGGAGGCTGAGGCAGAATGATCATGAATTAAAGACCAGCTTGAGTTACCTAGACAGACCAATTTCAAAAGAAAGAAAAAGAAAAAGATGCTTGGAATTCATCAGTTTCCTTTTACTTATACTCTTTTCTACAAATGAGGATACTTGCTGTTCAAGTCTGAGAAGAGGAAGAAAAGATACTAGAAAGAGGAGTAAGTTTCAGAAGAGAGCACAGCAGTGGTGATTAGGTTAGGGGAGATATTACATAAACTCTGCTTGCTCTAGTGTTGGTCTAGCAGCCAAATCACCATCCAGTCAATTGTGCTTAAATTCAGTGTCTACCTAAGAGAGGATACTATTAACACTACAGAAAAAGCACCCATTTATAATACCTATTCCCAAGGGACTATGCAATCGTAAAGAGTTCTCCCTAGAAAAAATACTGACAAGGACATTAACTTTTAAAGGCCAATAGATGAAGAGTTCCTCACTGTCTCTCCCTTCTGTTTCCTCCTGCACACCACTCCTGAGGGAAAGAACTGTGACGTCAGTGCGGCTGACCTACGCTCTGACACTTGCCATTACCTCTTGCTGCTTCTCCTCATTGGGGTAGGTGTCTATAAATACTCCCAGCCCCACAAATTTGTCCATGTTTCCAAACACAGGCCCTAGAGAGAGAGAACAGATGATGAACAATGAAATAAACCCAAGAGCTGATAAAGGAATAATATTGCACTACGATGGAGGATAAGGTGAAATTCCAATGCCTCCCAGGCCCTTTCTTCAGATGAGAAAACACATAAAAGCACCCAGCAAAGTGCATGGCCTGCAAGAAGGGCCCAGTAAATATTTGTAGTTGTTTGTGTTGAAGGCAGGAAAAGAGAGAAAGCCACTGTAACCTTGTTTAGCACTATGGAAGCTTCCTGATTCAAACTAGTTGCTAAGGTGCCCCTACAGATTTGTCCTTCACAAACACTTGGTGAAGATTATACCCCAAGAGAGAACTGAATTCCCAAGTTCTACTTCTTGTTGCAAAAGAGATCAGGTCAAATCAGGTTGCGCCTGCCATCTACATGGAACAATGGCTGTAGCACAGCAAGGGAAATAGGTAAACTCTTCTCGTGACAGAGAAGTGCTGAGATCATTCACTACCCATGCCCAGAAGAAATCAGCTCACCGGTTTTCACGAGAGGCAGTGCTTTCACACAGCCAAAAGGCCAGGCTTCACAGGGAAATCAGAAAGAACTAACAAGAAAGGAATCACCTCAGGATTAAGTCAAGTTCAGAAGCTTACTAGGATTCAGATCCCATTCTAAAGACTGGACAGACCAGTGCTCATTCAGAGACATCAAGGAAGAGGGAAAACTGCAGGGAGAGCCCTTCTCAAAAAGAGGGGGGAAAAAAAAAAGCAGGCCTGCCCCACCAACACAAGAGCAACCCAGGGTCCCCAATACCTGGCTGCATTCGATCCTTTGTGTACCATATTGCCAAGCCGTCCCCATGAAGATTCTTCTTCCCTTGTCCATGGATCTTGAAATGCACCTGCAACTCCCAGTCTCTCAAAAAGCATGGCTAAAGAGAAAAACACAGTGGGATCAATGAGCAGCAAGAAATGGGGAACTCTTAAGCCCAGAGCAGCAGTCTACAGACATAGAAAACATAAATGCAGATAGAAAAGCTAAGGGTTACAACTGAAATCTATGAAATGTTCATATTATAAAATTGAGCAGATCGAGTCATTCAGTTGTTTAAGATCCTAGTAGGTAAAGAGAATGAATAACCCGAGTATGTTCCCTATCTCGCAATAGACACAGGATAGTACTGAAAAGCTGGAAAAGGCAAGTTAGGCTACCATGATATTGTATTTGCCCAGCAAAGTATCCTAGCCTGTTGAGTATAGATGACTCAATAAGCTGAGATGATTGCAACTTATGATCATTCCTGACAGAGATTCTAAAAAGCTGGGATTTAAAGAAAGGTCAAAATCTCATTCATTATGAAAGAATATGACAGGCCAGGCACCGGTGGCTCACGCCTGTAATCCTAGCTACTCAGGAGGCTGAGATCTGAGGATCCAGGTTCAAAGCCAGCTGGGGCAGGAAAGTCTGTGAGACTCTCATCTCCAAAAGCCACCAGAAAACCAAAAGTGGCACTGTAGCTCAAGTGGTAGAGCACTCGCCTTGAGCTGAAGAGCTGAGGGATAGCACCCACGCCCAGAGTGCAAGCCCCATAACCAACAACAACAAAAAAGAATATGACAGCTAAGTCATTACACAAAGATTCCCAGGAATAATTAGCAGATACTATAAACAACTCTAATTAGCTAGTCTTGGCCTTCTGCCAAGCTGAGGGGCAAGCCTGAGTTCCCACGAGAAGGGCAAGTTACAGTCCCCCAAACCTTCACGCCCATGGCCAAGCAGTATAAATATCCAGAGTTGAATGACATCCCCATCACTGGGCCAGCCTCTGGTGAGAAAACATTAAGGAGATGCTTTTCAATCAGATTCCTAGTTTTCTTTTTTTTAGTTGTGTATCAAAACCTTATTTAAAAAAAAAAGTTGAGGGCATAGCTCAAGTGGTAGATTGCCTGCCCAGCAAGTGAGAGGCTATGAGTTCAAATCCAATACAAAAAAAAAATCTTGTAAATACAGAGATGACAAGTAAATGGTTTAGTGCTCTAAATAGCTGAACAGTTTCAAGAAGAAACTGTGGGGACAGCATTTGATTTAGGGAAACATCTGGTTTAAGTCTGCTGTGAAGAAAAGAAGGGAAGAAAGGCAGACTAACAGAGTTCAACCAAAGACTATCCAAATTTGATTGTTCTGGCTCTTGAGAAACATATTGCTTGATCATTTTCAATTTCTAAAATAGTCTCCAAAAGCACTACTATCAGGAGTACAAAGTCAAAATGAAAAGGGGGTGGGTACTTCTGCAATTAGCAAGGAACCTTGAAATCCCCAATAGCCTGCCCTACTCTGATGAGCCCAGCTCTCTGTCTTGTCATTTTGGATTATCTCTCTGAAGGTTCAATTAGAATTCAGGGCAATGGTGATATAGGTAGGTACTATGCACAACCCCAGAAATTCACAATGAGTCAAGGTGTCTACCACTGATTCTCTTCCTGTACAAGTACAATGTTATATAGTTTTGTCCAGAATTAGGTCTAACAGAAATTCTGGAACTTGGGCTGGGAAGGTGGCTCGGTTTTGGAGTACTTGCCTGGCATGCATGAGGCCCTAAGTTCGATTCCTCAGCACCACATAAACAGAAAAAGCTGGAAGTGGTGTGGTGGCTCAAGTGGTAGAGTGCTAGCCATGAGCTGAAGAGCTGAGGGACAACACCCAGGCCCAGAATTCACACCCCATAACCAACCAAAAAAAAAAAAAAATTCTGAAATTTTGTTGCACACTGGATTCCACTAGGAAGTTAAAAAAAATTGTTATTATAAAGGTAATGTATTATAAAGGTTACAGTTACATAAGTCAGGCAAAGAATACATTTCTTGTTAGATGATATAATAACCCCTTCTGTCACACTCTCCTAGTTTACATTAGGGAGTTAAAAAAAAAAAAAAACAAGCCAGTGCCTAAGCTGTACTCTATTTCAATTCAGAATCTTTGGAGGTGGGTGCCAGGCATTAACTTAATGACAGCTAAATTTGAGAACCACACCTCAAGCAAATGTATCTTACTAAATTCAGAAACAATTCTTCAATTCATTCTGATGGCCTGTTAACAGAGAATACAGGTATCAGAGAATCTGAACAAAAGCAGGAGAACTAGTTCCTGGAATAGAATTGCTGCTAAACAAGTCAGGTAGAGACAGAGAGCTAAGCAAGATGGCTCAAGACGGCCTTGAACTAATCATTTACTAACCCATAACACTCCATTAATGAAACATATAGCAAATATAACAGCACCTGTAGCCATTTTAACTTCACAGTCTCTTCATGTCTACTTGTCTTATTTTATTCTCTGCAACCCAAGAGTGCAAGTAAAACAGGTATTATAAAGCTCACCTGAAGGATGGAGACACTGAAAATCTAGAGGTTAAAGAAGCTGCTGAGGGTTTGTGGTGTGTGACAGAATTGAATTTAGAATCTGCCTTTGAGGGTTTGTGGTGTGTGACAGAATTGAATTTAGAATCTGCCTTTCAACTGCTCTTGTATCTTCTACTGTGCTCTGCACAGTGTTCAAAAAATATGCCCAGCAATCTTGGTTAGAATACCAACTTCATACAGATAGCTAGGTCATGGATAAGCTTCTCTCATGCCATAACTCCTTTGCAACTTTAGACTACAGGAAATGTAGCTGAATGGGGAAAAGAAACAGTTCTCTTATCTGGGGCTCACTAATCTACAGCTCATAAAAAAAAAAAAACTATGCAAAAGAAAGATTATTTTTTCTTTTTCACTTAAGGGAGCCCTAGAGAAAATATCAAAGGATGCCAAAGTCTTTCCCAAAAGTTACAGGTATAGAAGACTTAGAAAGGGCTGAGACAGCAAGAATAAAATATCATCCTATAGTTGTACAAAATCACAGTGCAGCCACACCAGGAATATATTCACTTCTTGCCACCAAACCCCAAGGAAGTCAAGGTAGCTAGAAAAAGTCCAGAGAAGGACAAACAAACAAAAAACTAATGACTCAGAAAGACTTCAATATGAAAATAAAAACTTAAATCTTCAAACTAAAATAACAAGGGATGCTGGGCGCTGGTGGCTCATGCCTATAATCCTAGCTACTCAGGAGGCTGAGATCTGAGGATCATAGTTCAAAGCCAGCCCCCGCAGGAAAGTCTATGAGACTTATCTCCAATAAATCACCAGAAAACCAGAAGTGGTGCTGTGGCTCAAATGGTAGAGCACTTGCCTTGAGCTGAAGAGCTGAGTGACAGCACCCAGGCCGAGTTCAAGCACCATGACCAACAAAAATTAATTAATTAACTAATTAATTAATTTAAAAAACAAGGGAAGGCTATTAAGATGAAGACTGGGATTTATTTAGTTAGTTATTTAGAGACTGCATCTTACTATGTTGTCTAGGCTAACCTGGAACTTCTGGGTTTCAGTAAATCTCTTGCCTTAACCTCCCAAACAGCGGGGACTAACGGTACACTCCACCACATCCAGATCTACATTTACAAGAATAGCCTCTACTTTACAAAGCAAAATGATTAAATAAGACTTAAGTTATTAAACCCCAAGAATTAGTATTAGGTCAACGAAGACATTTCTGAAAATAGATTCAAAGTTAACTATTAGCTATAATTAGGGCAACAAAAAAAATCCCTAATATCTAATTTATTATGAAAGTTACCATAATCTCTGAAATAAAGATCTTGTCTGCCTGTGGAAAAATAGAACACTGGGAACAGTAGTTAAATGAAATAAAATCAATATGAACTTTCTAGGACATTCTGAGTCACTAACAGAGGAAGGAAAAGATTCTTACCACTCGGTTCCACAAGGCACCCTGTTTACTTTGCATATCTGGAGTAAGACGTATATACTGGGTCATTACCATGGCATTGCCCATCAGATTCCACAGTGAGGAACTGCTTGTGCCCACACCTATGAGGAGGAAATATATCAATTATCCTTTTAAACACCAACCTGTTCAAAAGTCCACCAGAGAGCTTCTGAAAGGTAGAATGATGATCTTTTTTCCCCCAAATGTCCACCCTCTGTTATAAATCTTTTGCTTTTTGTGTGTATGAGTATTGGGGATTGAATTCAGGACTATGAGTTGTAGCCCTTTTTCGCTTATTTTTCACATAGTCTCTGGCATTTTTGCCATAGCTAGCTTAGGACCTCAACCATCCTATGTATGCCTCCCTTACAGCTTCGAAGTGCACAACTATACCCAGCTTGTTGAGATGGGGGTATTACTATTTGCCTCGACTGGACTGGAACCATATCATCCTGATCTATGCCTCCTGAGTAGCTGTAATATAATTACATCACCACACCTGGTCCATCTTTTTCTTCTTCCTTTTCTTTCTTCTTATTGAAAAGCTGGTCTAGAACTCCTGGGCTTAAACACAACCTCCACCAGCACTACCACTACCACCAGGCTCTTTATAAATCTTAAATCCATATCATAGTTAAAGCTTCCTTTTGTAAGTCCCTTCTCAAATGGAGATCTTAAGATTTATCACTTTATGCACACCACAGCTAACTATAACCTAGATCCATTCTTCCTATTTTATACATGAGTGAGCTTTAGCACCATGAAACAAAATGCCCTTAGCTTTAACTTCAGGCCTGTGGGCGTAAACATGTTCTTTTAAATAATAATAATCCTTAGGTTTGAAGCTAGTCCCTCACACTAAATGCCTTGAGTGAAATTTGCTGCTGTATCACCCACAGCATTAGCAAAGGAGGTACTAAGTGCGTCCAAATGAATAAATGATACCTTAGTAGTAGTGTGTACTCTTTTACACTTAAGGATTTTCGCTTCCTCGTTGTGGTAACTCATGTGTTTACCTATCTGCAACCGTATCAATAGTAACCGTATCAATTTTCTGGTCTATAAGCTGTGCTTAGGGGCTTATTGTAATAACTTATAACACTATGAACCTATGAACCCTAACTAAAACAAACCTAAAGAGCCTCTTTATCCTAAGGGATCCTGGCCCGAAAAGGAGCAGCGTTCTTTATATCTTCTTTCTCATTCTGAGCAAGTTCTACCCGAGTCCTTCCTCCAGCTGTATTTCTAGCACACCCACAGCTCCATTCCCGACCCTGTCCTCGATCCTTCTCCCGCCCTCCAGTCCTTCCTCCCTTCCTGCAGGCCTAGCACTGATTGCACCTGAGATTCCAGCCCGTGCAAGGGGAGAGGGGGGCGGACCCTTGAGCTTCCCACCCACGGATCTCGAACGCGGCAGGGTCCCCATGGGCCCCCCACCGTCGGCTGTATCTTCCAGGCCACAAAGCCCTTTGCCCCCCGACCCCATCTCTACAGACGAGTTCCAGTCCCTCAGCCTCCCGCGCCCTCACGTAAGACCACCTCGCCCTGGGCGCCTCACCCTGGTAGGGCTTCGACAGCGAGTGCTCCCGTTTCAAGTACTCGAACGTTTGACCCGCCCCAACTTGTCGTGGCCCCTGCCCAGACCCCACCAAAAGGAGAAGAAGCAAGATCTTGGACACGTCTCGAGCCAACAAACGCCGCCGCCACCGCTGCAACCAAGAGAGTCCCAGAATAGCCGCCATCTTTCCTACAGCTGTCCCTTCATCAGAAGCCCGCCCTGTTGACCAACCCATTGGCCCGTAGAACCATCTGCCTCGCGTTTGATTGGCTCTCGTCAGATCCCCGCCCCCACAGGTGAGCCCCTTACCGATTGGCTATTTGGGGAATCAGTTGCCTTGCCAACCAAGGAAAGGGGTGGGGCCGAATGTCCGGACTCCTTTATATGCATTTGTCCTGCGCTTGTGTGGGCCTGCGGAGCTACATATTAATTTCCGTTTTGTTTCGGCGTTCTATAGTAAATTTAAAGGGATAAAACTTTTCTTCCGACCCCCAAGCAAATGTTCTATCGTCTATGCCGTAGTAGTTACTTGACTGTGCAGAGCTACACAGAAATGAAAGGAAAACACTACAGTAACTAGAAAATTATCAAATTTCTCCGGGCGCCAGTGGTTCACGCCTGTAATCCCAGCTACTCAGGAGGCCCAGATCTAGGATCGCAGTTCAAAACCAGCCCGGGCAGGAAAGTCCGTGAGATTCTTATCTCCAATTAACCACCAGAAACCCGAAATTGGAGCTGTGGCTCAAGTGGTAGGGCGCTAGCCTTGAGCTGAAGAGCTGAGGGATAGTGCCCAGGCCCAGAGTTCAAGCCCCACGACCAGCCAAAAAAAAAAGGGGGAGAAGGAGGAAGAAAAGGAGGAGGAGGAGGAGAAGAAAAGAAAGAAAATAATCAAATTTATAAAAGCCTTCAATAGCACTATCAACTTTACCTGATAATATTTATGTATATACCCCACAACGGCAAAACACACATTCTCTTCTTTTGCTAAAGTTTGCCAAGTTTTTTAGGCCCATGAAACATGAATGTGAAAGAAATGCAAAAATCAATTCATTCTTAATACCGTCCCTTCCTTTGTGTGTGTTTTGGGGGGTGGGGGAATTAAACTCAGGACTTGGGCACTGTTCCTCAGCTTCATTTGAGCTACAGCTCCACTTCCAAATCTTTGCTGGTTGATTGGACTTTTCTGCCTAAATTTGCTTTGAACTTCACTCAGATCTCAGCCTCCTAAGAAGTTAAGAGGCATGAGCCACTGGCACCCAGCTCCATCATTTCTTTTCATCTTTTTCTTGAGCTACAACAAGCAGTGCCCACATTGGTCTTCTGAAACCCCAAACTCCTCATAGCCATCAAAGTGACCTAAACATCTAACCATTATTAGTGTCTGTGTTAAATGAGATGATATGGTAAACCTCTTAGTATAGTCTATGGCATGTAGTAAGCACTATTTCATCATCATTGTTATTAATAGGGCTCTTGATAGTCTGTCATCTTTTGGGAGGAGATTTAAGTCCCTCCACTTGGCACACAAAGCTCTCTGCCATCCCCTTCCTGCCCCTCCCTCCTGGAATTATTGCCCAAAGCTCCATTTCTCCAACTGCTTGTTCTAGCTTCCTCCCTTACCCCTCCTATCAGTAACCCTCTTCCCTCTACCAACTTCCTCCTGGAGGCCTTTCACAATTCCCTGAGGCCAAAGCACAAGCCTCTCTCTCCCAGCACATCTACAGAATACTTGCCACACCTAAACCTACATCTGCACTATTGCTTAATCAAAGCTAACTTCTTCCTGAGCATCTACTGACTAGGAAAAACATGATAGGTACCTGCTTTAGAGGAGGTTAATTTCTCTGTGTGTGTCACTCACACGTGTACAAATGCAAGCACTACAGTACCTGATTGTTGTTCCTTAGCTTTTTCCCTCAAGGCTAGTAGTACTCTACCAGCTTTGAGCCACAGCTCTACTAAGGGTTTTTTGCTGGTTAATGGGGGATATGAGTCTCATGGACTTGCCTGACCAGGCTGGTTTTGAACCTGGTCCTCAGAGCTCAGCCTCCTGGTGCCTTGAGCAACCAGAACCCAGCTTGGAATCAACTTTTTAAAAAAGTCGAAGTCGGGCTGGGAAGGTGGCTCAGTGGTAGAGCGCTTGCTTTGCATGCTCAAGGCCCTGGGTTCGATTCCTCAGCACCACATAAGCAAAAAGAAAAAGGCCGGAAGTGGCGCTGTGGCTCAAGTGGTAGAGCACTAGCCTTGAGCTAAAGATCTGAGGGACAGCGCCCAGGCCCAGAGTTCAGGCCCCACGACCGGACCCAAAAAATAAATAAATAAAAATAAAAAAAATAAAAATAAAAAAGTCGAAGTCATTGATCTTTCACATATTCTTTTATTGTGATAAGACATTAGAAACTGCAGTTAATCTATTCATGGTTTTTAAACTATTCATTACCCCCAATTGCCACAGAATAAAATCCAATCTCTTTAGTGTACCATTGAATGCCCTCACAACCTGACTCAGATCAGGCTGTAAATATGTTTATTATAATGTGTGACACTGAAATTACATTACTCCATTAGAGGTGTATACATCTGTCTTCCCAGGAGGCTGGGAGTTTCTGGACCGCAGGAAGCAGATTTTACTCATTTTTATAGGCTCTACCTATTTCCCTACTACTCTCACCCCAACCCATCATCATGGCACTGTCTGGGTTCTGTTTTCTTTTCTTTTTTGGTCCAAGACCAAGACTTGATTGAACTCAGTACCTGACATTTTCACTCATTGGATGGTACTCCACCAACTGAGCTCCTCCAACTCCTTATGTTTTAAAAAAAATTATTGCCACTGTATGTCTCTATCAACAACATTTTTATTGTGCTTTAAAAAAATAAAATGTGGAGCTGGGAAGGTGGCTCAGTGGTAGAGTGAATGCCTTGCAAGCATGAGGCCCTGGGTTCGATTCCTCAGCACCACATAAACAGAAAAAGCTGGAAGTGGCGCTGTAGCTCCAGTGGTAGAGTGCTAGCCTTGAGCTGAAGAGCTGAGGAACAGTGCCCGTGCCCCAGAGTTCAGGCCCCATGACCGGCAAAAAAAAAAAAAAAGTACTAATTTATTTCAATGCTGGAAACCAAACCCAGACCTTTATGCATACTAGGCAAATAATCTACCACTGAGCTATGCCCCAGCACCCCATTTATAAGTACATATACCGCTCAGAGTTAAGTACATTTGCATGTTGGGCACTTGTATCTGGATTTCTGATAGATTGTCACCAGCAGATCTGTCATTGTAAAAAAAAAAAAAGTCCTTATGACTTCTCCTCTATAATAACAAAAAATCCTTATGATAAAGAAAAGGAGAATAAAACAGATGAGTATGGGTGATGAGTGTACTGACTAAACGATACACCAGATAGTTTAGCTCAGACTTTAAATAATGAGAATACTCATTAATAAAGAACATACCAAAGAAAAGGAATGAAGCCTGAGGTTTTAGAAAGGCAGATAAGTAAGTCAATCAAGAGGAAGGATGGAGGCTGGAGAGAGTTGGTCTTATCTGAATTACTGGGGGAAGAGTAGAAATGCTATCTTATCTTGGAATATTCTTTGTTGGGTTGTTGTTTTGCTGTGGTCTTGAAGCTTGAACTCAGGTCCTCGAAATTGCCCCTGAGCTTTTGTGCTCAAGGCTAACACTCTACCACTTGAGCCACAGCCCCACTCCCAGCTTCTTTTTTTTTTTTTGTGCTTATTTGGAGATAAGAGTCTCAAAGACTTTCCCACCCAGACTCGCTTCAAAGCACAATCCTCAGATCTCAGCCTCAGGGATAGCTAGGATTTCTGGAGTGAGCCACTAGTGCTCAGCAGTTGTTGTTTTGAGAAGGAAGTCTTGCTATATTCATTAGCCATGAATTGATGATCCTCCTGCCTTAGTTTCCAGAATGTTAGGATTACAGGTGTGAAACCTTATGTCCAATTTACTTATAATATTCTAAAGGAGAACCGTAATTTAAAATTAGTGGCTGGGATCTGAGAATCATAATTCAAAGCAAGCCTGGGCTGGGCTGGGCTGGACTCATGCCTGTAATTCTAACTACTCAGGGAGCTGAGATCTGAGGATTATGGTTCAAAGCCAGACTAGGCAAGTCTATAAGATTCTTATTTCCAATTAACCACCAGAAAACTTAAAGTGGATCTGTGATTCAAAGTAGTAGAACCCTAGCCTTGAGAGAAAAAGCTCAGGGACAGTGCTCAAGCCTGAGTTCAAACCCCATGACCAAAAACAAAAAAAGCAAACTTGGGTAGAGGTGTCTGTAATTCATCCAGCAAAAAACTGGAAGTGGAAGTGTGGCTCAAGTGAGAGAAAGCCAGACCTAAGTAGAAAAAGACAAATGAGAACATGAAGCCCTGAGTTCAAGCACAGTATTCACACACACACACACACACACACACACACACACAGTAAAATGAAGCAGATGGCAGGATGGAGTGGGGGATTTCTTTACAAAGCTGTTTTCCAGAAGCACGGGGCTCAGATATGTTCAGTGGTATATAGAAGTATTGAGTAGCTGTGAAGGGAAAGAGTAAAAGGAGTCATACTTGTCTCAACACCACCCTACTTAGAGTGTCTTCTGAAAGCTGGGTCAGGTTGTGGCCTACCATTGTTTCAGCTACCAAATATTCCTTTTATTTCCTCTATGGATTGTCCACCAACTCTAAGTCAGTTCTATATTGTAGAAGTCATACCTTTATTTTGATATCTTCAAAGACAAATAGGAGCTTCTTCAGTTAAGTTTGCCTAAAATCTGATGTTCCTCATCTCATAAAAACATTTTTGGGGGGTGTTGGGTTCTTAAAAAGAGGTAGCCGAGTAAGAACAGCACCATGCACGTGGTATTCAGGTAAGAGGGAGGTTTATTCATCGTTCGGGGTGGCACCAGGCCCTCCATGAGACTGGGAAAGACCTGGGAAAGAGCTGGGAAAAGAGAGCCGGGGGAGAGAGTTGGGAAAGAGAGCTGGGAAGGAAAGAGAGCTGGGAAAGAGAGAGAGAGACCTGGGAAAGAGCTGAGAAAGAAAGCATCTGGGCCTGGGCTAGGCCTTCTGTAGGGTATGGACGGAGAAAGGTGTGGCCACAGCAAATTCAGATGTGACCTCAGTGCATGCAGATGTGACCTTTTCCTGGTGTGCCATTTGCCTAGTTAATGCAGGTACTGGGAGGAGACTTTGCTGCGAGGAGGGTGGAGTC